AACCACGTCTCGGTGACAACAAGGGTCGTGGTGCGGACGGCTTTTTGTTTCTGTCAGTCACTCAAGAGAACAAACAGTGCCTGAAACGCAGCCCACGTCTATAAACAAAGCACCTGAGCGAACACTCCAGGGCGCTGTGGCCCTGGGCTCACGTCGCCTGTTCTGGGAACCCGTGACGGACACCGGGCCCACGGCGGGCGGCCCTTCCAGCACGTTCTCCAAGCACTGTGGAACCTCGCATGGGCTGTGAGCGCCCCCGGGCCGCACGCTCCAGCCGTCCTTCCTGCACATGGACGGCCCTGGGACTCGCCGAGCGCTGGGGGAACGGGGCAGGGACGCCGTGGAGAAAGGCAGGAGGACGTGGGGACGGGCGGGGACGGGCGGGGACGGGCGGGACTCCCCCGCCCCAGACGCTAGCCCTGGGCACACAAAGCCGTGAGCCTGCGGCGCGCCTGCCGGCCTCCCATCCCTGGGGCCCCCCAGAGCCGTCGGAGCAGGACGGGGCGGCACGCACAGGCCGCAGGCACAGGCAGGGACTTGGGGCCATGTCAGATGAGCCTCCGGGAGGGCCTCACGTTTGCCAGTGCAGAGAACATTACAGGGCGACACACAGGAAGCTGCGACTCTGACCTCTGCGCAGACACTTCAAGTTCAGTGAGCAGGAGGCCTGACTGCACCTCGGAGCTTGAGGGTCACCAGGGCCTAGGAACATTTGGGGTCCCACGCGCATATCAGGATATTCACATTTAAAACTAAGGACTGACGTTCAAAGAGGTGATGTTCCGCCACAAAGGTGGACGGCAGGCCCCGTCCTCACGTGAGCTCTCGGCAGCCGGCTTTTCGACGCTGGGAAGGTCCCCAGGGCCTTGCCACCCAGACCCCGTGCTTGGTGTGCGTTCACCCCCCACACACGCTTCAAAGCACAACCCACAGGCACAGGGTTAGCGACGGACGAGAAAGCAGACGGGACTTCATCTAACCCTAATGGACCTGGAACTGGTATTTCAACGGCTCGGTGACCAGGAAAACAAAATATTTATGTATTTATTCCTCAAGCAAATTAACGAGGGAGAATGGTTTCGACGCCAGCTGAATGCCTGACTCTCAGATACTGGACAACCGAAAAAGGTGGACATCTGCAAAGTCGGGCTCCTGGCACATCTGTCATTCGCAGATGCACGACCGCAAGCACCTCAGACAGCAGGTGGCACACGCGGCTCCCCCTCTGCCCGCCGTCTGGTCGTGTCCGGGGGCTGCAGTCGCCCGTGCCGGCAGTCAGACCAGAGCCCAGGAGCCGGCTGGAGGCATCTGCCGTGAAGGCACAGGACAGACACGCAGAGAGCCCGGCGGGGTGCCGGGCGGCGTGGCGTGAGGGGCAGGGCCGTCCCCGCGAGTGCCCGAGGCCAGCGCGGCTCCCCTCCTGGGGACTCGACATTCGCGTCCACGCCTGGCGCGTGTGCTTCTTGGTGGTCACTCCGTACCCCCCCATGGGACACTCTCCCTTTGTTCTCTCGTGGGCCAGTGTCCTCCAGTCCTCTTCTCAAGTGACATCCAAGCTGCCCTCCCGGGGCCTCCGCCTGCCTGAGCGGCACACCCGCCCCCTGCAGTTAAAGCCCCCCCCTGAGCTCTCGGGATGTGGGGGACCCTTTCTTTCTTCCCTGCAGCTCAACAAGGCACTGGAAACACTGCTCCTTGTTAGATGGCAGTTTCGTGTGTTTGTAGAACAGTGATCAGAAAAGACCGGTTTTGTCCAAAGAATACCATTAAAAAGGTACGATCTCAAAACGGAGGGGGCCGTTGCATTTGATAAGGTGACGCCCGTGTTTCCAGGGACAGGCACGGGGTTGGCGGGGAGGGGGTGGAAATGCTCCCTTCTAAATCCCTGATGCTCAGCTTTCCCAGATGTGGAGGGGGATTTAAACCTCGGGAGGACTCATCCCCGGCGGTGTGAAAACAGCTCGGGAACATTCCAGCGCTCAGTAGCCTGCGGGGAGACCCTTGAATATCCGCATTAAGAAACTAGGAACCTGACGGCACTAAATGCAAGACGACACCCACTGTCCTTCCTCCCGAGCTGTGGGGGGAGCGGGTGAGGCCCCCTTCCACTCACAGTAAAACACAATCCACCTGTCCATCTGTCTAAAACGCTGACAGGAGTAACCGATTCGTGTTTTAAATGATCAGAGTAAAAAAAAAAGATTTAGAAAGAAAATCTTTTACCTTAAACTTCTTTTTAAACCTGCATTTTGCTTTTGGACTGGAATTTCTACAAAGAACATTTCCAAATAATCCAGTGCCTATTTATGTCACTGCCAACAGTCAACTTCTTTTGAAGTCATAATCTTTAGGCCTCTTTCACTTAAAAACCTTTCATGGTAAAATCCAATCCAACATTTTCTAGCATATCCCTCTGTGCAAACTTACATACTCATAGCTTATTTTATTTCCTACTTTTATTGGGTTAAATAACATAGGTCTAAGATGCCGTTATGACCTTGGGTGGATTTCAAGTAAGTTCCCCTCAGCAGCCTTCATCATCCATCTTCCCATGTCAGGGGATCCACTTGCTCAGAGGACAAACGAACCATAAAAAATGTAAACAGACAAATCCAGGAACTGACACCTGTGGTCCCGCTTGATGTCTGTAACTGTCCCTGTGGTCTCGTTACAAAGCAGGTGGTGTCGTGTACCTGTCAGAACAGTTTGAAAGGCTCGGGGACTCTCAAAACACTTCCCTGTGCAAAATGGACGGGCAGCGTCACACAGAACCTTGGGGGTACCCGTGACGTCGACAGAGAAGGACCAAGTGACCTTGCTACATCATAGCCAGTTGCCACTGACGTCTAAAAGGCGCCAGGGACCATGAGGAAAATGATACGAATTGAGACGGTCTCCCTTGTGTTATCATAGCAAATCGTTTTAACAAGCGAGACTGTTACTAGTGAATTTTTAAGTTTTTTTGTCTTTTGTGTGGAACGGGTCACTGGAGGCCTTGCCGGCTCGATGCATCCGCCTCCCGAGAAGGCCCGCCACGGTCCCGGTGCTCAGTCAGGACTCAGACTCGATGAGCTACGCATCTGAGCAGGAAGAAAAACACCGACGAGCAGCAGCGCGTCCCGCGAAGGTTCCGCCCCATCAAATCGGTCTCCAAATTTCAGAAACCTGGCGGCGCATGAAGTGTAGGCGGTGTGCGTGCGGACTCTGTGATCCACATTTTACATACAACTAACGTTTCTAGTTCTCTAAGAACGGACTGCGTTACTGTAGGGATCCGCAGGTGCAGAGCCGAGGTCTCCAGCACCCCGAAACTCTGCTCCGACCCTCGGGGCTGGCAGACACCGCCGTCTGAGACAATGCCGACCATTCGGGCTGCTCCGCAGAGGGTGAGCACGGACACACAAACGGCTGTTTCCCGCCCCCCTGGTTCAGCCCTGAAGGACTGCTCAGGGCTCCCTGAGGACTGAGCCAGAGGAGCAGGAGCCGGGCGGTGATGCCCTCGCCGGGCGGGACGGCCACCACACCCCCCGATGGCTGCGTTGTCACCAGCCTCTGGCTCTGACCCTTTCTGAGCAAGAGTGTGAGTTAACTGGTAGAAGCCGCCACAGAAATCACCAAACAAAAGAGCTGATTTCGGATGCCACTCAGCGCACCCAGCCAGCTCTCACTTAGACTAATTACTTAAATGATTGAAAAACGCATGAATATTCATGTGGTGGCCGTTTCAAAAACACAGTGCAGCTGGGACCGCGCTGCCAGATCCTGCCTCCCGCTCCCTCCTGCAATCTGAACCGCAACCAGCTTCAGAGGCGCCGGGGAGCCTGGGGGACAGGCACGTGGAGGCCGCCACTGCCCCTGTCCACCTCCCATGACAGTCACCCACCCCAGCCCGACGGGCCCAGACCTCGGGTCTCCTCGGCTGGAGATCTGGCCTTCGTCTGCCAGAGGGCAAGTCGGCCTCACCTGAGTGCCACCACGGGTGTGCCCCCAGGACAAGGACGAGCATGTGCCAGCTGACAGTGTGTGTGATGGGGCCCTCGCACCAGAGCAGGCAGCTGGGGGAGTGCTCCCCGGACTCCGCCCAGGACGGGCTGGCTCTGGCGACCGTCTGGAGGGGCTGCACCCACAGGCTCCTCCTGGGCCAGGATGCTGGGGCAGCGGGCCCCGCCCACTGCTGGCAGGGGTCAGGCTGTATGGCCATCTAGGTCAGCCTCGGGCCACTGCAGAGTCGAACCCAGCACGGTGACGTCCCCAGAAACGGGCCAGCACCGTCACTGAGCAAGCACCCTAGAGGGACCCATCTCCGCACAAGAGTCGTGGATTTGCTCCTTATGACCGCGCACACTGACGGCCACACTCCGCACGGCACACGCGGCCTCCACAGACAGCAGACGGGGAGACCTGGGTGTGGGCACAGGGCCCCGGTGTCTCTGGTGCACACGGCACACGGGGACTGTCCCCAACAGTGTGCATGTGTACACACGTGTGTGTATGTGTACTGTGTTTGTGTTGTGTTGCGCATGTGTGTATGTGTCGTGTGTGCATGTGTGTGCTGTGCATGCACGTGTCATGCATGCGTTTGTGTTGTGCACTGCATGTTGTGCATGAACACGTGTGCTGTACCGTGTGATGTGCCGTGTATGTGTGCGTCGTGTGTGCGTGTGTTATGCATGAACACGTGCTGTGTTGTGTGGGTGTGTCGTGTGCGTACTTGTGTGCGTTGTGTGTATGCATGAACACGGGTTACCGTGTGTGTGTGCGTGCATGCTACATGCGAACACGTGTGTTGTGTGTGCGTGGGGAAAACCGACTGAACTTCCTAAACCCACAGGACAGGCAGCGCTGCTGCTGGGTCGCGGCGTCCGCTTCCCTCGCGGTGCCGGCTCCGTCCCGCGCTCGGCCCCGTCCCCCGCATCCCGTCCAGCACCGCGAAGAGCTGCGGGCACGCTCGGCCTCCAGTGCCCGCGTCCGCCATGTGGCCCGCGGGTGCAGCGCACACTCACCTTCCGGCTCCCCGCACAGCGTGCACTGCGACTCTGTGGAGAGAGAGAGAGAAGCCGTTACTCGAGGCCTCGGGCAAAGCTACAGATGCGGCAGCGACAGCTCCGCGCGGCTCACGCGTGCAGCAGGCAAGCCAGGGTGCAGGCAGCTGGCGTCAAACGCAGCCGCAGGGAGCGTTTATGCACGATGCCCCCCGATGAGGACCCGTCGCACGGTGGGCCACGTCAGGGTGCCCTCAGACGGCTGGCACCAGACGGCCTGTCTCGAGACTTAGTTTCAGCATCGCAGCCTGACTCTGCTCACGGCTCTGCTGTGTCTCCTTTCAGACACCAACCGTCACGAGCCGAAGCGCCGCGTTACGACTCAATGAGAACACGAAACCCAGGAAGGGCCCAGCACCCAGCTGTGCAGAGCAGACCAAGGTGCTGCGGATGTGGCCTTGGACCCACCTGAGAGTCGCAACACGCAGACAAGCGCGTCTCTGTGTGACGCGCCTTCTTCATGGGAAAGGCTTCAGACTCGGGCCGGGGCACAGCGCCACCACTGTCCATTTCCCAGAGCGACTCCGGGAAACGACCCGTCCCCCCAGCTCTGCCATGGGGGCCGTGATATCTGCATGTGGGGACGAGAGGGGTGAGTGACAAGCACATTGAAGAAGCTAGTGCAGGGCCGGCCGGCACCGAGCACGGGAGGGAAGCTGGCGCCCTCTGTGCCAGATCCTGTCTGGCGGCAGAGGACTCACAGCAGACCCATCAGCTGGGTGGGACCCCGAGGGACAGGAGGGTTTTCAACAAAAAAAAGCACCCCAAGTCCAAGGACAGGCCTGAATGAAGGCAAAGAGGCAGGTGACACGCAGGACAGGCTGGTGAGGGGCTGTCAGGTGGACAGGCTGAGAGCACACATCAAGGACAGGCTGAGAGGGGACTGGCACCCTAGAAGCACCTGAGGTCTCCAAGGGTGAAACTCAGGAGCCCACACTGGGTCCCACAGCACAGAGCAGCAGCATGCTCGTCACGCCACAGGAGGGCCTCGTGGTGGCCTAGGACAGGACAGAGCGGGTGGGGACAGACAGAAGCAGAGGACAGGGGACGTCAGCCTGTGAGGCTCAGCCCAGGAGGCATGTGCAGCAGGAGGGGCCTGGAGGGGACGGACGAGAGCAAGAGAAAAGCCTGGGCCTTGGCCGCTCGGCCTGACGGGACTGGTGTGACTTCCGGGGGCAGCACGACCTGCAGCTGGCGACAGACCTCTGGACGGCTCGCTCCCTCCGCAGACGAGATCAGTTGCCATGGCTTTGCCACTTCTGGCCCGACGAAGGGCAGGCCTGAACAGTGTCCTCTCCAGGGACACAGTGCTGAGCCCAGAACTGTCGCTAATTGGTCTGTGAGAGAGAGCGGGGACCAGGACCTGGGACCCAGCGGCGTCAGGAGGAGAGGCGGAGCCAGGCGCCCACAGTGTCCCCTCGCTTCTGAGCCACCCGCAGACACGCTTGTGAGCGAGGTCCCGAGGTGGTGAGACGGAGAGGGCCAGGCATGAAGCCGCCACCCGCAGCCTCTGTGCAGGGAGCCTGGGCAGCGCACGACGCCCTCCCTGCAGTCTGCGGGGGGCGGGCCGTGGCCTCTGCGAGGTTCGGGGGCGGTGCCAGGGGCTTCCGCTGCACCGCGGTGTGGCTGCGGGGGGCAGAGACGGAGGAGCCGTACAGGGGGGTCTGACTGTGCCTCTGCTCCAGGCGGGACAGAGCCCCAGGACCCAGAGGCCCAGCAGAATGCAGGTGCCTGCGTGGGCGGCGGAAGCTAGAGCCCCAGAGCAGACAGCGCCAGGCGTCCGGTCGCCACACTCCGCTGTCACCACACTCCGCTGTCGCCACACTCCGCTGTCACACACCTGCAAGCGGATCTTCCTTGTCCTCGGAGCTGCTGGCAGAGGCACAGAACCCCAGAAACCGACGGTTCAATGAGAAGCCAAGCCCTGAGGGCTTCCTGGAAACCAAGGTGCGGGAAGGGCCTGAGGCTCTGGTTGGTTTTATTTGTCCCAAACACAACTGAAGGTCCCCCTGCCACCTCTGTGCAAGTCAGCTGTGAGCAGTCCCAGAGTGGCCAGGAGGGGCCCACCACAGAGGCCCACGGTGCCAGTCAACCCAGAACCCCTGCTGGACGCTGACACCGCCACACCACACAGGCGTGGCCACAGCGCAGCTAAGCCCTCCTCACTGCCTGCACTGTGCAGGAGGCCACCGAGCCAACCGCCTTAGGGACCTGTCTGCGATCACATGATGGGACCAGAGTCTGACGCCCCCCGACCCAGCCTCTGTCCTTGGTGACAGGGCAGAGCTGAGACCACAGTCTTCCTGGTGTCTCAGGGAGGCGCCCCATCTACAGGAGAGAGACAGGGGCTACCCGAACCCTGACCCGCTGACGACGGGAACAGGAGAGGGTACAGCGACGGGCCAGGGGGCGGCCGCGAGCGCAGAGCTGCCTGCGTGGAGGCTGGATTCAGCCCAGTCCACCCCGGCCCCTGGCCCCCGGCCCCCAAAGGACCAAAACTCAGCGCTGGGCTGTCTGCTCGACCTAAGTCGGAGACGGTGGGTTTTCGCCACTCACGTAACTTTAACCCGAATTTGCACCCGATGTGCCCAGCAGACTCGGTCTCGGTCGGGGTCCCGCGCTCACGCAGGGAGCGCACAGCAGCGCAGCTCAGCAGCAGGCCTGGGGGCTCTGACGCTGGCGTCTGAGCGCGTTCAGAACAGGGCACGATAGCCGCCCCCCGGGCGGGTCTTCAGTGAGCACCGGGGCCGCGCAGCTATTCATGGTGCCCCGTCCTTTAAAACGTGCCTCCCAGCACGGTCGTGGGGAAGAAGCCGTCACTCCGCGTGCCGTGGGCCCGGGACACAAAGCCCCTCGCCCGTTACTGCGCAGCACACTGTGACGGCACAGGCCCCGACGGCCTGGGGTGGCCCTCCCTCCACGAGCCACAGGGAACGCTAGAGCCGGGACGTCTGCCACGCGCCCTGAGGGGTCCACCCTGGACTGCGGTGAGTGACCGCAGGGCGCCCGAGCTTCCTGTGCACAGACGCCCCGACGGCTAGAAGGCCTGTCTCCCCTCACGCAGGCCGCGATCGTAGACGCCACTAGCCTCGCCACCAGAAACACGGTCCGAAGTAACCGCTGACGTCCAAACCAGCGCCCATGTGAACCGGGACCCCCCTAATGGCACCGCCTCTGCACCCTGACCAACGGCCTCCACTCTGAGCCTCTCATCTGGGCCTGGGCCTCTCCTGGCCCCTCTGCCTCAGTGTCCAGGGAAGAAGGCCCCACAGCTCAGACTGCAGCCCTAGAGACACTGTGACTTCACTGGTAACACATAAGACGTGCTGAGCGCACCACAGGACCCTGCAAAGCACTGTGACGTGCTGGGTGCGGGGTTCCTGGAGAAGCCACCCCGAGGTGCGGACACTCCACATAGCAGCACGCAGGCAGCGGGGAGTGCCAGGCCAGAGATGCCCACTCGCCTCGGCTCGGAGGGGCAGCCCGCTCCACTGACGCCCCCTGACATCGCTGAGGACTCCGCCGAGCTACCCTGTCACTGCGGCCTCAGGTTCGGTGCAAACACTGAGCCCCGCGCAGTGCTGGCCACGTGACTGCAAACCAGCGCTCCGTCCAGTACACCAACAAGGAGGCGACTTTGGACAGGCGTGGGACCGGCCAGGACGCAGGGACACAGAGTGAAGCGCCTGCCTGTATGGCTGGAGCAGAGCCGTGGGTACCGCCGGACCTTCTCTGCAGGCGGCCGCAGTGCATCCCGGGCGGGGGGCACAGCATGGAGCCCAGGTGTCCACGGGCGCTGCACCCGGGGAGCAGGAGAGGCAGAGCCCGGCCGAGCTGTGGCCTGGACGGGCTGTGGGCGAGCGGGTCGGGTCATGGAGGCGAGTGGCCATCGGGGCCTGCTGCCAGTCCAGGGACCCGGCTCCTTGCAGAGACAAATTGCAGCCACTGTCCCAAAGCGCAAAGCACCTAAGCCGACGGTGGCCGCGGGCGGGGACTGGGCCTGCGTGAGGCAGATGTGCACGGGCCGGAGGCACAGAAGGCCACTGGGTCGGTGACACGAGGGGACGGCCGGTGACCCGTGCCACACGCCCCTGGGTCTCACCATTTGTGTGCGGGGCCCACTGGGGAGGGGCAGCTGCTGGCGCTGCGCTCACAACTCCTCACGCGCGTGTGCGTCCACACCGCACGCGGGAGGGAGAGTGGCTCCGCAGCCTCTCCAGGTTGGCTGGCCAGGGGGCCCTTGAGCCTCGGTCCTCCGTGGGACCCCTCTGGGCAGCGGGCTGAGCTGTCGCTGGTAGCAGGGAGGCTGAGTGCGTCTGGCACAGTGCGGTGCCTGACGCCAAGGGGGGCCGGTCAGCGACTCTTCCCACGAGCCCACCCGCTTTTCTGAGTCCAAGTGCGCCCGGCCCCCGCCCGCCCGTGCACGTGGCGGGATCTGATCTCTGCTCTCCCTGAGCGGACCCAGCGAAGGCACCCACGCCGCAGGCGGGAGTCCAGCTCAGCACCCTGTGGACCCACCGTGAGGGTGCAGCCTCGTCCAAACCAGGAGACGACACCGGCCTACGCTGGTGACACCAGGGCGGGGTCTCCCCTGACAGGGATGTCACGTGACCACGTGCGCCCACGAGGACCTGCCCACTCCCACGCTCACAGCGAACGCTGATGCCCCACTCTGGTTGGCGCAGGTGTGTCCCCGACGTCGGCCTTAGGAAAGAGGGGCCAGCTGCACCGGGTAACCCGGGGCGCTGACTGACGGGGCACATTCCACACACATGCGGACGCGTTTACAGAGCTGCAGGCACAGTATCTGTGCGTGCACAGCCCCCCGCTTTCCCTCCCCCTCCTGCTGGAGCCTGGTGACGGCCCCACGACACCCCCACGTCCCCTAGGGGTCGGGGTGCAGCTGACGACAGCACAAGGAGCCCAGGGCAGCTGTCCAGGGCGCCCCGCGGAGGCAGCAGCTGGCGCAGGCGCTCTGGAGGCCGCCGCCGCCG